CATAAACCCTAATTAATTAGGGTTTAGGGCTTAGGGTTTAGGGTTTAGGGTTTACAGCGAAGCGGCTGCGCCACGGCTGGCTGAGCAACGATTATTAATTTACTTTTGCATTTTGAGGTTTATTTATTTATTTTTATTTATTTGTTTATTTATTTTTATTTATTTTTTTATTTATTTGTTTGTTTATTTATTTATTTCTATTTGTTTACTTTTATTGTTTCTTTTTCTCTTTTGCTGCTCCTCTCTCCCCGCTGCGTCGCGCGAGTGCGGCTGGCTCAAGTGACCCCTAAACCCTAAACCCTAAACCCTAAACCCTAAACAAACGCTAAACCCTAAACCCTAAATTGTAAGAGCTATACGCCACCAGCAGCAAATTGATTTTGGCTTTGTTTCCCCAGCAAGCCATTTGTCTCAGTGGTTCCTTGCTGCTGCTGCCCCCTGTGGTCCTGCTGCTGCTGCTGCTGCTGGTGTTGCTGCTGCTGTTGCTGCTGCTGTTGCTGCTGCTGCTGCTGTTGCTGCTGCTGTTGCAGTTTTGAATTGAGCTAAAGGGTTTATTTCAAAAATGATTTCAATTCAAAGAGGCCCCAGAAATGGAGCGACCGCTCGGGTGTACGTACACCTGAGCGCCTCGAGTGTCTGCGCATCAGCAGCGCGAGCGAAGCAGCAAAAGCGAAAGAAATAAAGACAAAAAAGCAAATAAAAGGGTTTTTATTAATTCTAATTTAATTAAGTTGTAAATTTAGAACTCTTAATGGCAAACAGTTCATTTATAAACGCTGTTCAATCTGCAGCAGCAGCAGCAGCAGCAGCAGGAAGGCTCGCGACTGCTGACAGCCGATGTCTCCTGCTCGTCCCTTTCCTTCCTGATTATTCCCTTTATTCATTTGTCTATTTATTTGTTTATTTATTTATTTGTTTAGTTGCTTACTTATTTACTTCTCTTGGCCTTATCTGCTTCTGCTGCTCTCGTAGGCTTTGCTGCTGCTGCTGCTGCCGACAGCTAGCCAAGCCACAGGGCCTCTCTTTTCCTGCTGCTGCTGCTGCTGCAGCTGCAGCTGCAGTGAGCTGCAGCACTCTCAGAACAAGCTTTTCGCGTAATCTGGGCATTGTTGCTGTTGCTGCTGCTGCTGTGCCCCCAAGGTCCCTCGCTGCTGCAAAAAGGTCACTGCAGCAGCAGCGCAAAGACAGCAGCACGGCGCGGCGCAGCACGAGCAGCAGCAGCAGCAGCAACAGCTGCAGCAGCTTGGCTACAATGACTTCTGAGGAGCCAATGTCTCTTTTAAGAGAAAGGAAAAGAAAAAGAGACATAGAGAGAGACTCCGCCAGTAAGAACGGAAGATATGCTGCTGCTGCTGCTGCTGCTGCTGCTGCAGCTGTTGCAGCTGCTGCAGCAGAAGTTGCTGCAGGGCCAACAGCAGCAGCACCGGAAGCTACTGTAGCAGAAGATGCAGCAGCAACAGCTGCAGAATCAGCAGTTGGAGAAGGAGCAGCAACGGCAACCCAGGAAGCAGCAGCGGCAGCAACAGCAGCTCAAGAAGCAGCAGCAACAGCAACAGCAGCAGCAGCAGCGACAACAGTTGCTGCAGCGACAACAGTTGCTGCAGTCACAGCAGGAGCAGCAGACTCCGGCGCCTTCCCGGCCCCAAGTCCTGCTGCAACAGCAGCAGCAGCTGCTGCAGCATCTGCTGCACCAGTTGCTTCTTCTTATCTACTGCAGCAATTGAGTGCCCAATTGCTGCTGCCGTTCCCCCACAGCAGCAGCAGCACCAGCGCCCGCTTTGAAGCCGAATCCACAGCAGCAGCAGCAGCAGCAGCAGCAGCAGCAGGAGGTGCAGCAGGAGGCGGCAGCAGCCCCGAGGCGACACCCACAGACGAAGCAGAAGAAGCAGCAGATATTCTGCATGATGAGAAGGAGAACCAAAACCCTAAAGAAGCAGCAAGAAACCAGCAGCAGCAGCAGCAGCAGTTGCTGCTGCTGCTGCTGCAGCGAAGAGACACACGGAGACGCTTCAGTGGAGCAAATGAGCAGCCGCTGCTGCGGATGCCAAATGCGCCACCCAACAGTCCCACAGCAGCAGCAGCAACAGCAGCAGCAACGGCAGCAGCAGCAGCAGCAACAGCAGCAGCAGCAGCAGTTAGGTTTGGCCTTATCGCCTCCTCTGGGTTGCAGGTGCCGATGCACCTGAGACTGCAGCAGCAGCAGCAGCAGCAGCACGAGCAACAGCAGCAGCAGCAGGGAGAACTGCCGATGGTGTCTCCAATAACTATTTCGCAGATCCACGCAGCAAGCAGCAGGGAGCAGCAGCAGCAGCTGCAGCTGCAGCAGCTGGTGCAGCAGCAGCTGGCGCAGCAGCGGCAGCACCTCGTGCTGCTGCTGCAGCGGTTGGAAGCTGCGCTGCAGCAAGAAAGGAGAGAGACACTTGGCAGCTAAATAAGTGTCTTTAGTCTTTTGTTTTCTTTTTAATTATTTATTTTATTCATTTGTTTATTTTACTTATTTATTTTATTTATTTATTATTTATTTATTTTAAATATAAATCCAAAAGACAGAAGAGACTCTTCGTTGGCTCTGTCTCATTGGGTCCCGCAGCAGCTGCAGCAAAAGACTCCGCTGCAGCAGCTGTTGCTGCAGCTGCTGCTGCAGCTGCTGCTGCAGCTGCTGCTGCAGCTCTTGCTGCAGCTGCTGCTGCAGCTGCTGCTTCAGCTATTGCTGCAGCTCTTGCTGCAGCTACTGCTGCAGCTCTTGCTGCAGCTGCTGCTGCAGCTACTGCTGCAGCTCTTGCTGCAGCTGCTGCTGCAGCTACTGCTGCAGCTGCTGCTGCAGCTACTGCTGCAGCTACTGCTGCAGCTCTTGCTGCAGCTGCTGCTGCAGCTACTGCTGCAGCTCTTGCTGCACCTGCTGCTGCAGCTACTGCTGCAGCTCTTGCTGCAGCTGCTGCTGCAGCTACTGCTGCAGCTCTTGCTGCACCTGCTGCTGCAGCTACTGCTGCAGCTCTTGCTGCACCTGCTGCTGCAGCTCTTGCTGCAGCTGCTGCTGCAGCAGCTGCTGCAGCAGCACAACGCCGATAATAAAACTATTTAATTTGTTCGTTTGCTTTCGTTTTGTCGTTTCTTTTATTAATTGTCTCCTTTTTATTTAATTATTTATTTATTTATTATTTAAAGGTTTTAATTTAATTATTTATTTTGCTGCAGCTCCACTTCAGCCAAGAGGTGAAGCAAAATGCTTCGTAGCAGTTTGCTGCTGCACCTGCGAGGCAAAAAACAAAGTTTAATTAATTTGATTTTTAATTTGATTTTTAATTTAACTTTAAAATTAAATCAAATATTAAAGTATAAAATTAATTTAACTTATTTATTTCATTTAATTTAATTAAATAATTAAAAGGCTGGCCAGCAGCAAAAGATTCAAATGAGACAGAGAGCTGCTCATCTGCAAGCAGCAGCAGACGCAAAGCTGCTGCTGTTGCTGCTGCTGCTGCTGCTGTTGCCTTTGTTGCGGCAGCTGCGCAGCAGCAGCAAATATTCACTCCAACTGAACCAAAGATACACCAAAATTAAATGAGGCACTTCCTGCGGCTGCTGCTGCTGCTGCTGCTGCTGCTCTCTCACTGCAGACAGGTTTATCTGCTGCTCTTTCCCTGCATGTGTTCGAGTCTCTTCTTATCTCTTTATTTTTATTTTGTTTTAATTATTTTATTTTTAAAATTATTTTTAAATTTTAAATTTGTCTCTTTACCTTTGTTGTAAAGCGCCCTTGAGCGTTGTATGGCTTCCTTTGTCGCTGCTGCTGCTGCTGCTGCTGCTGCTGCCGCTGCTGCTGCTGCTGCTGCTGCTGCCGTAGCTTCTGCTGCTGCTGCTGCTGGCGTAGCTTCCGCTGCTGCTTTATCTTCTGCTTCTGCCGTATCTTCTGCTGCTTTACTTAAGTTGTCCTTTGTTGCATGCATGCCTTTGCTGCTGCTGCTCTCTGCAGCAGCAGCAGCAGCTGCTGCTGTTGCTGCTGCTGCTGCTGCTGCTTTTTCTTCAATGCTTTTGCGTTTAAGAACTTCATAAGTGGTGCTGTTGTGCAGCAAAAGAGAAAAATGGTTAATTGCAAAAAGTGACAAAAAAAGAAAAGACAAAAAGGACAAAAGGAACAGCAGCAGCAGCTTCGGGTGTACAGACACCAGACGCTGCGACACAAAACGCAAAAATATTTTATTTTTATTTTTATTTTTATTTCATTTGTTTTTGTTTATTTATATATGTTCTGGTACTTATATTTAGTTTCATTTTATTTATTTTTATTTATTTTTATTATTTCTATTTATTTCTATTTATTTTCCTTTACTTGTTAATTTATCTTTATTCATTTTTATTTTTATTTTTAATTTTTTAAAATCCATTTTGCAGAAGCAAGGACCAAGATATATCCATTTCCATTTAAAGTTCTTTTGCTTTTTTAATTCCATTTATTCGCTATTTATTATTTAATTAATTAAAAATAAATGAATTAATTTAGAATTTATTATTTAATTAATAAAAATAAATGCACTTCTCTATTTACAATATATTATTTGATTAGTTAATAATAAATGTATGAATTTACTTACTATTTATTATCTAATTAGTTAAAAACAAAAGCATTATTTACTTAATCAATACTAAATACATAACTAATAATAAATGCATCAGCTTATTTAATATTTATTATTTAATTAATTAATAATAAGTGCATTAACCAATTAATAATAGATACATAATTAATAATAAATGCATTAACTAATAAATTATTATAATAAATTAATTTATAAGAAATGGATTAACTAATCAATAATGAAAGTACTAATCGTTTAATAAATGCATTAATTAATAATAAATGAATCGCTTAATTAGTAAATGAATCAATTAGTTATTAATAAATGAATTAATTGATTAATTAATCAATTAATTAACAATAACAAATGAATCAATTAAGAATATATGAATTGATTAATTAATTGGTTAATTAATTAATTAATTAATTGATTGATTGATTAATTAATTAATTGATAATAAATGTATTAATTCCCTCTCCTACTGACTTTGCAAAAAGGCAAAAAGTCCCAAAATTTGTCTGTCTCCTTTTTGGCCTCTCCGAGCAGAAAAACAAATCCCAAAAAGACTCCATACCTAAAAAGAATTAAAAGAATTAATTTAATTTAATTATTTTAATTAATTTAATTTAATTTAGTTTAGTTAATTTGATCTAATTTAATAAGTTGAATTAATTCATTTAATTAATTAAATTAAATTGAATTGAATCAATTCGAGCAAATTAAATAGATTAATAAAGAAGTAAACGACGGGCAAAATGGCAGTGAGAAAGCGAAGACAGAAAAAATAGAAAGGAAAAAGAAAGTAAATAATAATTATAAATAAATAAATAGACCAATAAATAAATAATAAATAAATGATAATTAGATAATTAAGTAGGAAAATTAAAAAGGGAGATTAAGGAGAATTTGCAAAAAGACGAAAAGGCAAATTTTGGAGCGGAGTGTACATACACTGGAGGCATGCATGCATGCGGTCGAATGGGGAAAGAGAAAAAGAAATAAAAAGAAACAAAAAGAAATAAAAAGAAATAAAATGGAAAAAGAACTGAAATAAAAAGCAATTAAAACTTCGAAAGTGTCTAAAAGTAAATCAAAAGAGCAGAAATGGAAATAATCGCGAAACTCGAAAAGTGGGTTTTCTGAGGTGTACATACACCCCAGACACCGCGCGAAGTGGACAGACACCCGAAACTGCAAGTACCCCGAGAAGAGCTGCTGCAGCAGCAAAAAGAAAATAAAAAAGAAATAATTCTTTCCTCCGATGCAGCAGTTCAGCCAAAAACAATGATGGTCAAATCGAAGTACACATTTGCTGCAGCGCCAGCAGTGGCGGCTCCGAGCAGGCCTGAGCAGCAGCAGCAGCAGCAGCAGCAAAGGCAGCGGCAGAAAAGGCAGTAGCAGCAGGGACAGCAAAGGCAGGAGCAGCAGCAAAGGTAGCAGCAGCAGGAGGAGCAGCAGCAAAGGCAACAGCAGCAGAGGAAGCAGCAACAGGTGCAGCAGCAGCAAAGGCAACAGCAGCAGAGGAAGCAGCAGCAGGTGCAGCAGCAGCAAAGGTAGCAACAACAGCAGCAAAGGAGACACAGGCAGCATAGCGAGATAATCACCCAAAAAGCATACAGACAAAAGCCAACTTCTAGGGTTTAGGGTTTAGCTTTAAGGGCTTAGGGTTAAGGGTTTAGAGTCCAGCCTCTAGGGTTTAGGGTTTAGCTTCTAGGGTTTAGGGTTTAGCCTCTATAGTTCAGGGTTTAGATTTCACCCCTCAGGGTCTAGGGTTTAGCGTCTAGGGTTTAGGGTTTGAGAGTGTACCTGGTAATGTTGCAAATGGCGAATTTGGTGTTGGGGAAATAAATTAAGGGTTTAGGGTTTAGGGCTTAGGGTTTGAGAGTGTACCTGATAATGTTGCAAATGGCGCATTTGGTGTTGGGGAAATAAATTAAATTGTCAAATTCGTAAACCCTAGAAAGTTGTTTGGCGTTTTCAGGTGTCACGACACCTGAAAACACAGCACAGCAGCAGCAGCAGCAACAGCAGCAGCAGCAGCAAAACCAGCAGCAGCAGCAAATCAGCAGCAGCAAAATCAGTACCAGCAGCAGCAGCAGTAGCAGCAAATCAGCATCAGCAGCAGCAAATTAGCATCAGCAGCAGTAGCAAATTAGCAGCATCAGCAAACTAGCAGTAGCAGCAAATTAGCAGCAGCAGCAGCAAATTAGCAGCAGCAGCAGCAGCAGCAGCGGCAGCAGCAGCAACCGGCTAAAAGTGCGCATCTCCGTCTGCTTTTTTTCCCCATCCACCCCAAATTATTATTTATTTATTATTTATTTATTTATTTATGTATTTATTATTTTTATTTATTTATTTATTTATTTTAATTTATTTATTTAAATTTATTTACTTGCCTGGGTCGCTGCAACAGCAAACGAGAAATGCGGCGACGCAGAGGAAAAAGGCCAGAAGACTGATGGGGCTGATATTAAAAAACAAAAATAAATTTATTCATTTATTTATTTGTTTATTTATTCATTTAAATAATCAATTAATTAACTAATTAATTAATTTCATTATTACATTAATTAAATTTAAATTAATTTCGAATTTAAAAATAAAAAAAACTCACAAAGACGCGCCCCACAAGAAACTGCTCCGCAGCAAAGGAGAAGCTGCAGCAAAACAGAAATTCATCTTTTATTATTTTATTTATTTATTTTATTCATTTTAATTTATTTTATTTTAGTTAATTCTATTTTATTTTATTTAATTAATTTAATATAATATAATTCAACATAATTTAATGAAATTAATCAGTTTATTTGTTTTAATTTGATTTAATTTGATTTAATTGGATTTAATTCGATTTAATTTATTTAATTAGATTTAATGAATTTGATTTAATTAAATTTCAGTCTAATTTGATTCAACTAGATTTAATTAATTTAATTTAATTGATTTAATTCGATTGAATTTACATCAATTGATATTGTTAATTTAATTCATTTATTGCTATTTAATTCAATTTTGATTTAATTCAATCAGATTTAAATTACTTAATTTAATTTAATTCAATTTAATTTGGTAAAGTGCTCATTAGAGTTTTCGAAGAAATGAAAATAAGAGGAAAATAAATAAAATAAAAAACGAAATTAAAAATTAAAATAAATTAAAATAAAATAAAAAGATAAGAAATTAAAATTAAAAATGAAGCTAAAGTAAAAAGGATTTAAAATTAAAAGAAATGGGAAGACAAAAGGAAATAAAAAATGGAAATAAAAATGCGGAAACTAAATAACAAAAAAGATATTAAAAGGAAATTTAAAAATTAAAAAATAAATAAAAATACAAAACAAAAAAGGAATAAAAGGGACAATCAGGAAAATGAAATTAAAGAAGATTTTAAAAAGACTTTAAAAGATTTTAAAACATTAAAAAGAATTGCAGAGATAAAAAGGAAATAAACGAAAATAAGAAAGGGGAAAGAAATAAAAACAAAGAAATAAACGAAAATATAAATAAGATTAAGAATAAAAAGAAATAAATTAAAAATAAATAAAAGTAACCAAAAATAGATAATATAAAATAAAAATAAATAAAAATAAATGAAAATAAAAATAAATAAAAGGAAAGGGACTTGCCCACGTTGATGAATTCGAGATAACAGAAAATCATACTTCCAAAATAAAAAACTGGACCCAAAGGAGCTTCTTTTAATTTGCTGCTGCAGTTCTTCAGCTGCTGCTGCACCTGCTGCTGTTGCTGCTGCACCTGCTGCTGCAGCTGCTGCAGCTGCTGCAGCAGCGGGTGCGGCCGCTGATGCAGCTGACGCAGCAGCTGCTGGAGCTGCTGCAGCAGCTGATGCAGCTGCTGCTGCAGCCGCTGCTGTAGCTGCTGCAGCAGCTGCAGAAGCTGCAGCAGCCTTCTTGCTGCTGCGCGCACAAGGAGATCAAGGCGGGCAGCAGCAGCGGGCAGCAGCAGCAACGCGGCTGCTGCGCAGCAGCAGCAACACAGCAGCAGGGGCAGCAAGACAGCCGCTGGCATAGCCCCTCTTCCTGCTGCTGCTGCTGCTTCTCTTGCAGCTATTGCTGCTGCTCTTGCTGCTCCTGCTGCAGCAGCAACCACTGTCGCATTGCTGTAGAGTTGCTCTGTGGTTGCTGCTGCCGCTGCTGCTGCTGCTGAGGCTGCGGCATAAGCTGCCGCTCCACCAGCGGGAACTGAAGGGTAAGGGATTATTGTTGCTGCTGCTGCTGCAACAGCGGCCGCAGCTGCAGCAGCAGCAGCTGCTGCAGATGTAGCAGTAGACACACGAGAAACACGCCGCGCCCGCCTTTGCTGCTGCCCTTAGTGCTCAGAACAGCAGCAGCAGCAAAATTAAACTCAAAAATAATTAACTAACGGATTAATAATTCATTTAATCCATTTTTTTGTTAAAAGAAATGCGCAGCAGCAGACACCGGCATTGCTGCTGCTGCTGAGGTAGCTGGCTGTACACTTGAGTTGCTGCTGCCTGTGTGTTTCGTCAGGCGCGTTCCTTAAATTCATTTTGCTGCTGCTGCTTCTGCTGCAGCTGCTGCTGTTGCTGCTGCTGTAGTGAACACGCAGCAGCAGCCCCGGGTCGGCTGCTGCTGCTGCAGCTGCTGCTGCGGCTGCTGCTGCTGCTGGAGAGGAGCAGCAGCCTAAAGCAAAATCCTCTAAAAAGAGATTAAAGGAGATTTATGAAGTGAGGCTGTGGTGTACGTACAGCTCACTCTATTTTTCTGCCCGCTGTGTGTTGCTGCTGCTGCTGCTGCCGCTCGTGTCAGCTGCAGCAGCAGGAGCAGCAGCAGCTGCTGCTGCTGCCGCTGCTGCCTTTTCCTTTATTTTTTTCCGTTTTTGCATTTATAAAGTTATTTATTTTCTTTGTCTTTGTTCCATTCCCTAAACAAATCTGCTGTTGCTAAACGGCGCCGCGCAGCAGCGCAGCAGCAGCTCAGAGCGACACTGCTGCGCTCCCAGCAGCAGCAGCAGCAGCAGCAGCAACAGCAGCAGTGACGAGCCACAGCAGGATCAGAAGCGAGCGAGACCACTGCAGCAGCAGCGGCGGAAACGGCTGCGGCTGCAGCACCAGCGACAGCGGCAGCAACAGTGGGAACTGCTGCTGCTGCTGCTGCTGCTGCTACGGCAGCTGCTGCTGCTGCAGCTGCTCCTACGGCAACAGCAGCCAAAGTCGACCAGCAGCGACTTGAGGAAGCAGGCTTACAGCCATGGTCAAGCTGGTGCACCTCAGCAGCAGCAGCAACAGCAACGGCAGCAGCAGCAGCAGGAACAGCAGCAGCAGCAGTAGGAGCAGCAGCAGCAGCAGCAGAAGCGACGATTGAGCACATCCTAAAGCCATAGGCTTGTGTGTCCTTGTTAGGGCGTTCAGGCAGCAGCTAGGCTCGTGAGCCTGCAGCAGCAGCAGCAGCAGCAGCAGCAGCCACTGCAGTTCTTGCTGCACTCATGTTGTGCAGCAGCAGCAGCAGCAGCAGCAAATTGGGCCTTTCTGCAGGCGGACTGAGTGGGGCCCTCATGAGCCGCTGCGAGCAGCAAATTCCAAAATGCAGCGCAGCAGGGAGCACTGCCCCGGGCGGGCAGCAGCAGCAGCAGCAGCAGCAGCACCTGCAGCGGCAGCAGGAGACCCCGTAGCAGCAGCAGATGGAGGAACTTCTGCTGCTTTTCCAGCAGCAACGGAAGCTGACCCAGCAGCAGCAGTAGCGGAAACAGCAGCAGCAGCAGCAGATGCTGCTGCTGCTGCTGCTGCCGATACTTCGCATGCAGCTGGAGCCGCAAAGCCCCAAAATGACGGCGCCATATCAGCATACAGGGTCAGCTTCCACCCGCTGCTGCCCTCCCTCAGCAGCAGCAGCAACAGCAGCAGCAGCAGCAGCAGGCAGCAAGCAGCTGGGGGGCCTGGGCTAGGCGACACTTCGCAGCAGCAGCAGCAGCAGCAGCAGCAGCGAAACGGTTCACTGCTAGGTTCCTTCCTGTCTCTTCCCAGCAGCAGCAGCCCCGCGGGCAGCTCCAACACCAGCAGCAGCAGCAGCAGCAACAGCAGCAGCAGCAGCAGCAGCAGCAGCAGC